TCGATTTTTTGAGTACTCGAGGTTTTTCGGGTACTCGCGTGTTTTCAGGTACTCGAATTTTTTCGAGTAATCGAGTTTTTTCGAATCTTCCTGCTGAGTTCGAGTCGAGTAAAACTCGAAAAATCGGATACTCTCACAGCCCTATTAAAATCGAACAAATTATCTATCACACTGAACACTTGCTCTTGATAAATCTAATCTCACTTTTGAAAAATTAATACATGTAATAAAAACTACCGAATTGCCATCAACTAACTGTATTTTGTACTAGACGAAAAGAGTAGATGTTTTCACGTCGGATGGATTCTCATAACTGAGCTGAAACACGTGGTAGACGAACGGATGCGCTCGTCCGAATAAAAACGTGAAGTAACGGAAGCACCCGTAGCACAGGCAGCGCATTAATTGTGCTACCACATAAGCGACTATACCCCGAGTCGACTACTTGTTCTACTTTATCCATTGGTATCGAGTTGCCAACCTTTCAGTACAAATAATTAGGATTAACGTGTCAGTTTCGGATGTTGTAAAAAAAAATGTCCTCTTAGCTGGATTATAGAAATTACTCTTGATGTTGTTAAAAAAGCAAGCATTTTTGTTTTGAATAATTGAAACTCGTTCAATTCATTCTAATTGTTTATATTGAAAGGTTGGCAATGGCGTATCGATAGATAAAGTAGAACAAGCCACTGATTCGTGCAGTCGCCTGTGTCACAAGACTGAGCAATGGGCACAGGTCTACTTTACTAATACTTTTTAATTAGGCTATGAAACTGCATATAAATTTGAATGTATCAAATACTTATGATATTAAAAAAATTGAGTATTAAATACTGATTTCATTTTCCATATAGGAGTTTGCTTTAAACACATTTAACGAAAATAATGGTTTTCAATCAGTCTTTCTACTGTAAATAACATGATAATTATCTTTTTTCATGTGATTTAAGAGAAGTATTTTTGGACTAAGTAATTCACGTAATCTCACATAGCGAACTTCAATTTTATTGACCAAGATCGTTGAGATTATTATTTTTTTTGGCCTATTCACAGAATTCAGACCCAAGATTTACATATAGTTGATGAAAATAACAAAGTGAAAAGTAGATAATGAAAAACATGAGACCAAATTTTTCAGTTTTAGGAATTTTTATTTCTTTTGAATATTTTCAAAATATTTACAAATACTTACAAATATTGGCATTTCATTCGCAGATAATAAAAAACAAGGTAGTCTATTATACAACTGCTTATTCATTAATGATTATTTTTGATAAATTTTAATAAAATATTTTATTAAATTGTATGTGGAAGTAGTCAAAGTTGATCTTATGCTTAGCTTGAGGTTGCGTTGATGGATAATGATCCATCAAAGAAAATTAAATGACATACAACTTAGTCGTGTCATGCAATCACTTAGAATCTTACGGCAAACAGCTTAGATATCCTCAATGCTCATCGCTGAAGGGTCATAGGCTGATACAAGTTAATTGAAGTATTTATAAGTATTTAACTGAACAAAGTACTTTCAAATGGGGTATTAAAAAAGGCTCTTATATGCCTGTTTTCTGAAAAAATTTTTTTTTCACTTTTTCAGCTTAATATTATAAAAAGAAATATACATATGTTTAATTATTTAAGCCCCCTTTGAGCCCTTAAATTGCTATAATGACCGCTAAATACTTTTTATCACTGCTGGGCATGGAAATATCATGTTGAAGTGAAATTATTCATACTTATTATGACACGCAGATGCAAAAATTCAGTTTTAGGGTATAAGATTTGACTGATTCTTAAAATTGGACGCGTGACGACATAGACATTTTCGAATGTTTTTAAGCAGTAGCCGGCGTAATATGGTTTTTTAATGTCCAATAATATACGAAAAAGTTATAAATAACTGATATCTAACTATTCTGCATATTTCAGTAGTGTCGATTCACAATTTTCAACTGCGTACAGGATGGGACATCAAAAACAAGCTTTTCATGACGATCACCCATATTCGCCTAAAGTTCGCACCAATCTATCCAATAGCGCCAAAGAAACTTATACATAACTGTTACATGGATGACTATTTAGATAGTTTTTCTTCCGAAGAAGAAGCTATTGAAATCGGGAATCAAGTCAAATTGATTAACGGTTTCGCTGAATTTAAGATGCACAAATGGGCGAGCAATAATAGTCGCGTTAAAGCTTTTTCGCTTACCCGACGGCAAAAGGCACGTATCGTTCATCATGTCCAAGTGCCGAATCGTTAGTAAGAAAACAACTACTACCATTCCTCGATTTGAACTGCAAGCGGCATTATTAGTGGTGCGTTTAAAAGATTTAATTCAAAAGGAGCGTGAATTTACGGTTACTAAAGTAATTTTTTGGTCTGGTTCACGTACAGTTTTATATTGTATAGAGACAGATCCAGCTGATTTAAAAATTTTGTCGCTAATACACTAGTATAGAAATCCGTGAGAAATCGGAAGGCTGCGATTGGCGTTGGGTCCCTTCTAAAGAAAATCCTGCGGATGATGGTACTCGTTTCGTTCCCGAGGCGTTAAACAAAAGTAGTCGTTGGAGTAACGGGTCCGATCTTTAGAAAGGGTCAGCTAGCAAGTGGCCGGTATGTCAAAATGATAAAACTGAAACTGTACACGTAGCCGTCAGCGACGATAATTATTTGTTCAATTTTGAAAAATTTTCATCCTCTTCTTCGATTACTTGCAAGCACATCGGCGGTTCTGAATATTGTAACTCGATGAAGGCATCGAGAAATGGATCCGATTGAAATTTTAGCCTTAGAAAAAAATTTATCGATTGATCGGCGCAGTCGTTTATTAAGAATAATTTGTCCGGTAATGAATACTGAAGGAGTGTTAGTCATGGACGCGTGGGTTCCAATCAGAAGGATTATTCGATATGTCGATAATTTAAGACGCAAGTGAAAGATTCACTCAGTTAATCATTCTCTCTTACCATGAAAAATTTTATCATGGCAGTCACGAGTTGGCAATAAACGAGCTGCGACAGCGATATTCAATAATCGGGCTTCGCAGATATTTAAGGAAACTCGTGTTTAATTGCACAATCTGTCGGGCTCTCAGAGCAAACCCGTCGCCTCCGCGCAAGGCTGCGTTTATACCCAAAGTTCGTTTAGCTTTCCAATGTCGGTTGTTCTCACATTGCAGTCTGAATTATTTTGGCCAAGTTCGTGGCACAGTAAAAAGATGGGTGGCGCTTTTCACGCGTTTATCGATAAGAGCAATTCATTTGAAATTAGTGTAGAGTTTATCCGCAGATTTCGCGATCATGGCGTTCCGCAGGTTTTTTTAGCAAACGAGGTAAACCCGCAATTGTGCACTGAGATAATGGCACGAATTTTAAATTGCCTAGGAAAGAACTTGCGAAAGCCGTAGAAATTTTTAACAGAAAGAAGATTCACGATTATGCGATCGCTAATAGAATAGATTCAAAGTTCAATCCACCCACAGCTTCTCATATGGGAAGTGCGTGAGAGAGATTGGTCCGGTCCGTTAAGGTGTCTCTGACAGTTGTGTGAAAGGGTCGCTCTACATCGGATGAGGTATTGTCAACTCTGTTGAGTGAATATGCCGCTAACTCTCGCCCGCTTACTCATGTGTCGTCGAATCCATATGACCGAGAATGTCTCACGCCGAATCATTTTATTTTCGGTTCATGTTCCGGACAATTGGCATTGCCAAGACATAAAGAAAGTGCGATTAATGTGAGAGAGCAATGGAAGCTTGCGCAACCTGATGCCGATGAATTCTGGTCGGAATGGTTGCACAAGTAATTACCAACGTTACAAACTCGACGAAAGTGGCAAACGAAAACTCCCGAACTAAAAGTAAACGATGTCTTGCTCATAATAGATGAAAATATCGCGAGAAATTTTTGGAAGAAAGGAATCATAAATCGCGTGCTGCCGGGGAAAGACGGTGATACAGAGAAGTATAATGGGAATTGACAGGCAAAGTAAAAATAATGAATTCAATTAATAGTGAGTGTATTAATTTTGCAGGTCATTTGCCGAAACCAGGACGAGCTACCGCCAAGAGCCAGATCGACGGTGAAGAAAAACTTGTATTCATATGTCGCGCCGGAAAGTCTGTAAGAGAGGCCGCCAGAGCGCGTCGCGCTGGACACGTGGGAGAGCGCACGAGTGATTTTCTTGAGCGAGTCTTGCCGAGTAAGTTTAGGCACGTGTGAGTACGAGAGGAGTGATTATGAGTAACGAGTGACGAGTGAGAGAGAGTACCTGCGAGTACTCCCTTATAAAAATTTCCTATAGGATCTCGCGAAATTCCTAAAGGAGTCCTATAGGATTCCAATAGGAATTTCGCGGGATCCTATTGGAAACTTTTATAAGGGCTCACAAGGAGAGCTTTTCAGGTCCGCGTCATGGATTTGCTCCAAAATTTTTTTGCGGTCTCCTGGTACCCAATACTGAAGCTCCCTGTGCTTAGTTTGATCCAATGGGCCTTAGGGCCCATTTTTAGAGGATTTTCCACATTATAAAAGAATCTTTGTTATTTTCTATATCGATTTAGAAGTACTTAAACGAAAAAATTCAAGCAGATTCTTTGGAAAATTTTAAAACTTTTGATCGTTGTATTTTTTCGTTTGAGTACTTCTAAATTGATATAGAAAATAACAAAGATTTTTTTATATTGTGGACAATCCTTTAAAAAATGGGCCCTAAGGCCCGTTGGATCAAACTAAGCACAGGGAGCTTCACTATTGGGTACCATGAGACCGCAAAAAAATTTTGTAGCAAATCCATGACCTGAAGCTGGGATGGTCTCCTTGTCAGTGTTGAGCGAGCGTTGAGGGTGTTGAGTGTAGTGAAGAGAGAGGGTTGAGTATTTATCGCGTAAGAAGTGTTGCGTGTGGAAAGCCGGGATCACGACCCGAGACTCTGGTCAAAGTCAGATTTGTCGTCACCAATAAATATTTCTCTCAATTATAAAAAAAAAACACTGAAGTGATTTGTTGCATTTATTTATTTCACCTGTTGTTAACTTTCTCCTATCATTTTATTCCTCCATTACTTCGCATATTTAGTCCGTTCGAGCTCACGAATTGTAATTAAAAATTCGGGTACATTTTCATAATTTATGGATTCATAACCCTGTTTTTATAATCTAAATATTCCTATTCTAGAAAATTCTTGAACTTGTGTCCATGCTTCTCTACTTCAACCTTACGCCTATTATATGCATCATCATCATCTGGTGAGATCTTAATGTGACCTTGGTTTGCAGTTTCTTCTGTAAAAATCAAGTCAGGCATTCAAATTTATTTTTAACTATGTTTTATATTAAATAAAAATTATTTTGAAGAGGGTCATATCCGAAAAATCGAGTCTCGTCAAGCTGTTTCTCGGCCACAAGTTTTTCGATATGACGTTTCTATAGACATAGTAATATAACAATGAACGTGTGAAAAAAGGGGCAATAAAAAGAATGATATAATTCACGGGTTATCGTACCACGCGCTAGTCATGGGATAGCTTACGCGATTCGGGTATTCTTCCAATATCGCCCCACTATAATTCGGGATTCAACAATTATTATATATTCTAAAAGAGGATAGTGCGCATCTTTATAATCTCGGGCGCTCGGCTCTCAACTCTCTCGGATAGACGCACTAACATCTAGCGGTCTTCACGCGCTAACACCTTATCCTAGTTTTTGTAACTGAGCTATCGCTCATGAGTCAATCGCGTGGTACATTATAACTAAAAGTGTAACGAAAAATATAATATCCATTTTATACGTGCAAACTCTATAATAAAAGTCTCGTGTCAAACCTTAAACGTGTATCTCAGATTTTGGTGCAGTTAGAGTAAAATAAGTGCTCGGGTATTATTTAACAAATAGTCGCGATATAACAAGAGGATCAACTTACGAAGACCCCAATTGACACTGATACTTTTGTACGAGATGCGCCTGAATGAGTTCAGGGGATGGTGTTGGTCGTTTGGTCGTTGGTTGGTTGTCTATGATTTTTTTGTCTTTTTCTGTGGACTTGTCGCCAGCTGCTTCGACGTCATCACCCTTCAATTTATCCTTGATGATATCAAAGTACTCTTTGCCTTTTTCTGTAAACTTTTCGACAGCTTCTTTGGCGATATGATCCTTGGCTTTATCCTTTAATCTATCGACGAAATCTTTTACACCTCCTTTTGTGGTTAATCCGATGGGCTTGGCAGTTACCGTGGATGGTGGTTTTGCCTTGACATTGGACTTTGGGGGTTTACTTTTAGGTCTTGATCCACCACCCTTTCCTTCCGCATTATCGAAAGCAACCAACGTGAAGCAAACTAAGTTCAACGTATTCATATTATTTTTATTATAAATATCTTAATCATATGAAGTAAATATCAATATCAACGTATTCATATTATTTTTATTATAAGTATCTTAATTATATGAAGTAAATATCAATACCAATCGCGATAAATACGAAGAATAACGGAGATTTGAACATATTTTTCTTATTATGAACCAAAAAATTGCTGCAAGCTCTTTGATGGTCAATTTAATACTGATTTAAGATCCCGATCAAGTGTTTATTAATATGTACGACAAGTGGGTGTCATAAAGTTAATTAACAATGGTAGCAAACGATTGTTGACGTAATACTCAATACGCGAATCCAATTAAATTCGAATGTTGATTAAGATCGTATTTTATGATTATATTTGTTTGAAATGCAGCTTTATTTTTGAAATAATATCTACTCGACAAATTTTAAAGCGAGGTAATTTTTTTGCTAGAAAATTAAAATTGGTTCAATGAAATAAAATAAATTTATGCAATAGTATGACGAAAAATGTCTTTTTTTGCTCATTTTTTAGTGCGCAAAAAGCGTTTTTGGATGCTTGTGTGCGGTAAAATGCCCCATTTTGGACACGGGTGTGCGGTAAAACGCCTCATTTAAATGAACGTATTTTTCGCCTACTATTGCATAAAATTTTGTATGCAACACGTGCCCAGCTTTTTGCGCACAGTGTGCGCAAAAAACAACCACTCGTGCCGGCATAGCCGACACTCGTGTCTTTTTCCACACACTCGTGCCCAAAAACGCCTTTTGGGCACTTGTTACATAGATAACTATTAATAAACTATTCCAACTCCTCCTCTGACCGAAAGTTCGTTTTCCTTCTCTGCTATCGGGGAAGACCCTTATAAAAATTTCCTATAAGATCCCGCGAAAATCCTACTGGAATCCTATAAGACTCCTGTAGGAATTTTGCGGGATCCTATAGGAAATTTTTATAAGAGGAAAGTGTCATTTTTAATCCTTGCGCGCCGGCGTACTGACAACTATTGCTTCAACACAGTGCTATTGTATGTGCGAGTATACGAGCAAATTGACCTCACAAACGGCTGTAAAACGGTCAACATGACTACACTACAGAATGTACATTAATATGTACATTACCGAAATAGTAACATAACGCTAATACGCACATTACCGAATATTTGATTCAGTTATCGAGCGGGAAACGTAAATCCAACGAAGTAGGGGCCTTGTGTGGGTAACATATACGAGACAATAGTGAAAATAGTACGCGGAAAGATATGGAGATCGATTCTACTTCGATGCGTTCAAGTTTTCTGCTTGATAACCGAATTGCATGTTCAGTAAATAGAGGAACATTTACTAACAATACAATTTAACAGAATAATTAAGATTAAATGAACTAGGCTCGAGCCTTCGATAAAAATTAGACGATATGATATTACATCGGTCACTGTCGCGATTTGTCACAACGAAAAATTAAAATAAAAATGTAGCAACCCTGTTTAAAAAAAATCGCTGGATTTCCAGTTGAAAAATCAGGCAGGATATGACTGGAAATCGAACTCGATTTGACTAGAAATCGAGCTGTATTTGACTGGAAATCTAACTCGATTTTTGACTGGAAATCCAGCTCGATTTTCGATCTGAAATCTAGCTCGAGTTTTGAAAATCCAGCTCGAATTTTGGCCTAAAATCTAGTTTGATTTTTGATCTGAAATCGATCGATTTCCAGTCCAAAATCGAGCTAAATTTCTAGTCAAAAATCAAGCTAGATTTCAGTTTAAAAATCGAGCTGGATTTCAGATCGAAAATCGAGCTGGATTTCCAGTAAAAAATCGAGCTCGATTTCTAGTCAAATACAGCTCGATTTCTAGTCGAATCGAGTTCGATTCCGGGATCGAATCCAATTGAAAATCCAGCGATTTTTTTTAAACAGGGAAGACTCGACGTCAATTCCCGATTATACTCGGCCCAAGGATGCGAACAAATTCCGCGCGTTCAATCTATCTATACATTCCTCGTCAAAAAATACGTCTGATATGAGGTTTTTGATTTTTATCCTACGCTTATTCCGTGAAATTTCCAAGTGTAACCATACTTTTGCCGCACCCTGTATATATAAGAGCCATTGCGATTATAGATCTAATTGAACCCTCTTGTAGAGTCAACTTAGTAAGCTCAACGCAAAGTGCACTGTCAAAAAGTACTCTTTTTAACGAATAATTAAAAAAAATAGAGTTCTCTATGATTATTTTAGCGTCGTTTAAGGGGAGGGTTTCATCTAGCGCCTCAAAAATGACATGTTTTTCGTGATTTTTTTTTCGTGGAAGGAAGTGAATAATGCAGTCAAATTTTTTTGGTACTTATAAAGTATGTATTCAACTATATTTACAAATTTTTTCAGACCAAAATATCGAATTATTTATCGCCTAGCAGCGTTTGATGGAGGTCGTATTAAAAAAAGGTACCTCAACGGGCGGCAAGCTAGCGCCTTCAGTTTTTGCCCGAAACTAAAAATGCGAAGTTCCTCTTAAACTAGATGACATTTGCTGGAGGTTGAACCTTATTAATTGCAAAAAAATTAAAAATTGATAAAATGGCGGACTTCGGAAAAAAAATTTCTTTTTTTTGCCCTTTTTTGGCTCTTTTAAGGGCTGTAAAAAGTAATAATAATGAAAAAATTTAAAATTTTATAGGTTCAACCTCCAGACAATTTAATTAGCTTTAAAATAAAAAAAAAGCGTATCTCTAAGTGCAGTACTTTTCGAGATATCTTTATATATATTCTTTGAAAAATTTTAAAAGTTTTGATCGTCCCATTTTTTCGTTTAAGTACTTCTATTTCGATATAGAAAATAACAAAGATTTTTTTATAATGTGGAAAATTCTCTATAAAATAGGTCCTAAGGCCCTTTGGATCAAACTAAGCACAGGGAACTTCAGTATTGGGTACCATAAGACCGCAAAAAAATTTTGGAGCAAATCGATGACCCGCACCTGAAAAGCTCTCATTGTGAGATACAGCAGTTTCCGTGAGCCATTTTCGTATACTTTACGTGTTTAATTTTTTCTTCTTTTGCTTTTTCTGGCGAGTAGTGTTTTTGGTCACCTGTCGACCGATTGAGCTTTCTGCATCAGGGTCGCGTACACTTCTTCAGAACATGAATGGTTAACGGCCACTACCACGGGTGAGACGATTGAGATCATAGATCATTCTCAAAATGTACTTTTTTGACTAAAATTCGGCAAAAACGAAAAATGAAAAAAAATGTGTGTTTAACTATTCGTGCATAGCAATCTGAGAGTTCGGTCGTCTCACCCGTGGTAGTGGTCGTAACCATTCATGTTCTGAAGAAATGTACGCGACCCTGGTGCAGAAAGCTCAATCGGTCGACAGGTGACCAAAAACACTACTCGCCAGAAAAAGCAAAAGAAGAAAAAATTTAACATGTAAAGTATAGGAAAAGGGCTCACGGAAACAGCTGTATCTCAGAGCAAAATCAAAATTGTAGAATTTCAAAAAATACAATGGAAAGGGGAGAAAAAATCCTATTCAAAAATTGAATAAAAAATTTTTTGAATTTCAGGTGAATAAGCCCTTAAACGATTTATTATTTAAAGAAATTCATAAAAAGCCGATTTTCTTCGAGCGCGCCAAATTTTTCCTGCTTTAAAAATTACCTCAGTGGACCTTTTTCTTATTAGTACTTATCTCAAAGAAAAGAAAGATATCACGGGCAATGGTTTAAATTTAAAAATCGACCTCAACCATGTAGTCGAAAATCGGGCTAAGTGGGCAAAAAACAGTTAAAATCACGGCTTTATACGCATTATGTGGTTCTGTATCTTTACTTTAAGCTCCGGTGGTGGTTAAAACATGTTTATTAGCCTATTAGTTGATGAATCGCCGAGTTTAGAATCGCAAAACATCATTTTTCCATTTTTAGCCTTAACCAATTTAGCTAATTTAAACAAAAAACAACGACAAAAATATTAACCGCCGTTGAGGAGGCAGAAAGAATCATTTTTACGCACCTGCCTTGAACGAGCTTTCATTTTATACATAAAACTAGTATTACAAATCGATTTTAGAAAAAAAGCCTAAAAACGGACCACCCTATTATACATACTTTTAAGCCAATAAGTCGCTCGCGCTGCCTTACATAATAAAAAGTGTATGAAAAATCTTTGAAACTCAATTCCAGTATCATAATGTCAAAATCAACTTCATCTGTTATATTACAAAAAAGCTGATCTATTTCGCGATCGCGAGAACTCGAACGATATTGAAATTCGAGATTCTCAATACGCCGCGCGAAATTGCCCCCTATGCAACCCGTAGCGCACTTCACGGAGCTCAGTCGACGACAACAACTTCAGCTCGTTCGATAATACTGCGTGCGATGCACGAAATAAATCACTTACGCGGTATATATCTATATATATACATTATATATATATATTTATATATATCGTATCTATATGTGCGCCGTTCGCTCGTCAACTTGCAAGCTCTCGCGGCGATATGGCCAAGTCGCATTAGGTACTGTGCTCTTGCGTATATACGAGCAGCGTCGATCGCGTAGGACAATCGCGAAGTGTTTTTGCGATTATCAAAGTTCGAATGAGGATTTTAAGCTCGCTCGCTGTTCTTCCTAACGCTGCACTACGCGAGGCCTGCATCGTCGTCGTCCCGTTCGCGCAATGTCGCTACTATATCGCTAGACGCGAATCGCCAGTGAGCTAATTTCCTTTTGAAAAGAGAAATACGGATAAAACATAAAACGGTACATCGAAGTTTTTACGATAAACGAGTGATCGCCGCGCGCGCGCGACATCCAAGAATGCAGAGGCACGAGCTTTTCCTCGCCCTCGTGCTGCTCTCGGCGACGCTCGGCGCGAGCTGCTGCAGCGCCGAGATACTCTTCAATTTCGTGAAGAAGAGCGATCCTTGCCCGATCAAGTGCCAAAAGATACACATACGCACTGTGCAAGTGAGTTATTATTCCTAAATATAATTAGTAATTATTAGTAATTATTTCTAATCATTGATCTTTTGCAGAAGGACAACTTCGTGGACGTGCAGCAAGTGACGTCCTCGGACTGCCAGAGGGGCTGCAGATTCTACAATCTGATCAGTTTCAGCAAGAAGTTGGATCAGCGCGGCGTCAACGACACCCTGGAGTCTTGCGATTCTTGTAAGGTTTTTTTTTTTTTTTGCACATTCTCGTGTTATCCTGAAACTTAACTCTACGATTTATATACGCACACAGCGTGTCGAGCCGCCTATCCGGAGCTCAGGTCCGCGGCCACCTGCCGCCTCGGCTGCATCTCCATGGCGCTGCATCGCGAGATCTTCGAGAACTCGGCCGTCTCGCTGATGATGCGCCTCGACGACGAGCGACCCATACCCAATCTGCTGGCAGCGCTGCCCGTTCACTTCGCGGCGATGCATGAGAGCAGCAGCAGCAGCGGTGGTAACGTCGCGGCTACCGTCAATCCGACCCTCGGCGACGAGCCACTGGCCAATTGGTGGGACACCGACGATTACAAGTCCACGGATACGACCGCCAGGGTAACTTATAAATATATACTCTATTTATAGTAAGCTAATTGAATCTATGGCTATATCGATGTCATTGATTTCTTTTGCAGCAGCAGTACAACGTCGTCGTCAAGTCGAAAACTTACGTACCCAAGAGCGACTTGTTCGAGTCGCTGTGCGTGCTGAAGCACGCGGACATCTACAGCTGGCTCCTGGCGCTGGCCATCTTCGCCGTCGTCCTGTCCATTCTCTGGCTCTATCTGGCGCCGGAAAAGTTCAAAGACGCTCATCGGCAGGACGACGCGGCTACTCTGGTTACCGCTGCTGCTACGGCACCAGCAGCGCCACCGACCAGCAGCAAATTTACCGTCTATCTGCCCGACGAGGCGCCGCTACACAAAATACCTCCACCCAAGTATTACGACGTCGTCGACATGAACGATAAAAACATCAAGGTCTAAGATCTCGTCTGGATCTAGATCGCGCGTCGTGCGTAACTTTTGACGTTGACTCTCTACCGCAGGTATTAGACTGCAGCAATCAGTATTAGAAATACAATTCCCGTTGATGCGTACGTAGAGTATATAAAATATGTAGACGTACCTTTTTCATTATACTGTAAGGATACGAACTTGAGATTAATTTCAGCGCTAATTTTCATTTTAATAAGACGATGTGATCATATGTGTACTTGGTGATTTGTAACATATGCAATAAAAAGTCATTACCTCTAAAAGTGTGAAACATTTATTGATTAAAAAAAACAATTATAAATTTATATTCTATCTTTAGTATTATAATACAGTTGTTATAGGATAGTTTCATACTTTCGTTCTTAACTGAGCGACGAAACATAAAAGAAATCAAATGTACTATATACAATTAAAACTAAAGCCACTGATACATAATTTTCAGTGTGGAGTACTATGCATACGATCACGTATACGAATAAATAGATTTATGACTTTTCAACAATTTTTCGAGTATTTTAGAGCATAATTTTACTAATAAATAAAAATTGCAGTGTGTTTTTCAAGATGCCAAACAATAGCGAACGGAAAAGACCAATTAACGCAGCTGATAAACTCTATATCTGATTTGAAATTTACAATGTACGTATAAAATATGATAGTGGTGCTCAAATTTACTTCATCGCCAGTAAAGCTTGTGATCGTCATATCTTGCTTGTAGGAGAACTATCTGTTTATAAATTTTTAATGCTGGTCCTAATCGAAGATTCAAATTTTCGAGTATTTTTTTCCTTTCTAACAGAAGTAAAGCAGGACCATCAATTTCCTAGCAAAAGCAAGATAAAATTAATGAGCTTCCAATGAATTATTTGAATTTTTTAAAGGAATTGAACATTTTACTTACATGATCTTTGAATACATGAGCATGAAGTGGAAAGTGACGGAAAAAGAAATGATAAATTTCGTCAACCTTCCATTTGCTAACGTCTGGTATATTAGGGTCAATTTTTGGTGTTTCATCAGTTGCCGTTGATACTTTTGGACCGTTTGATATTGCTTTTATTTCTGCTTTGAAATGTTCAGTAAAATCTTGAGCCGATGAATCTGAACTCTTTGAAACTTTTTCAAGTATCGATGATTGTTGCTTAGGTCTACAATCTTGACATCTCCATTTAGATCCTTTCAAGCCTTTTTTCTCTGATAGGCATTTAATGTGAGATGCACTATCACATTTACAACAACTTACTAGAGTACCCTGTTAACAAACATTGTATATTAGAATGGTGAATTTTGCCATCATTTTATCTGTATGAAAATTGTTACATGAGAAATGATTTTACTTACAGATTCAGCCGTCTCATGACATATTTCACACATCTTGCACCTTTCACAACGCCAATCAATAAATGCTCTTTTATTCATTTTTTTAGATGGTAGTGCACATGATAAATGTACTGAAAATAAACAACAATTTTAGTTAAAAAATATATACTTGAATGTCAAGTCAGTAAGTTTTAATTATTTTTACCTTTAGTTGTACAATCTTTGCACTCCACTAATGACTCTGGTTTATCGCTACTGCAGAAATGACAATATTTATCTTTTGAAGATTCTTTGATTTGAGGTTGGATAACAGTTTCTCTGTTTTCTTGGACAATCGAAGCATTTTTTGGCTGTCTTCCTCTTTTCTTTTTTACTACCAAATTATCCGATGGATCAAATACTTTTTTGACCCTCTGAAATAAGAAAAATTTGATATAAATATACATAAATGAAATGCTAAAATATCTATTACTCAAATACTTACAACTTGTCGTCTTGCTGCTCTGAATGAGTTTGTATTATTTATGTCAGATGTAGGCGATGGAGTACCTGAGCTGATGAATTCTTCTTTGTGATCATCATTGTTGTCTGTTAATAGATCAAACATGTCTTGCGAATCATCACTGCGTACTTGTAGTTTCTGTTTCCTTTCTGCCTTGCTTCTTCTTACAGTACTGTTTGTATTATTATCTTGACAATTGGTATTTTCAATATTTTCCTTACTATGAGTATTAACTATTAAATTTCCTGATTCATTATTAACTTCAAATGAAACATCTTTTCCTCCATTCATTAGATTTTTTCCCAAAATAATTTCAATACAATCTTCTTTCTTCATAACACTATTTGTGTCTGATACAGCATTATCATTATGAGAACCATTTGATGAGAACCCATCAAATAAGTTGCCATCTCTTGCAATGTTCAGAATTTCCATAGGTTCGGGTACAGAAGTAGAAATAGTAACAGACCCACCACTCATGTTTGTTGAACCAACGAGTAAATAATTACCATTAGATAAATTCTTGAAATTTCCTTCAGAAACTTCTTTTTTCAAAAAATCTTCAACCATTCGGTGTGTAGTTGGATTTGAATGACCATTCAATAAATGATCGATTAACCTGTAATAAGTACGGACATGTGATTATTGAACCTAAAAGTCAAACATTCTAATCTATTCATGGTATACCATAATCAATATTTATGAATCATTAATATTCCATTTATAAATAAATTTAATTATAAAACATTTTCATAACCTTAATTTTTAAAATTGATTCATGTATAATAATGTACAATAATCTAATGCTTCTATAACGTTCTTTCGATTTTCACTTCACTAGTATTAAAACTTTGATTCAGCTGAAAAGTTAATCAATTTTCAAAAACAAATGCTTGATTTTTTATCTCTTACTTCTCAAACAATCCAGTTAACAGCATTAAAATGTGTAAGATCAATGCATTGTATCGATCGAATACAAAAACAATAGAAGGCAGTACGAAAAATAAATTATTTTCTAATTCAATTAAACTGAATTTTTTCACAATATTAACTCACATAATTTAACAATCCTTTTGAAATGTAGAAGAAATCAGACTCCCCACTCTGACTAGAAATAAATCGATATCTAGCTCCAACGCCCGTGAAAAAAATACTATTGCAACGATAATTTGATAATTGCCCTCGATAACGGAGTTATATTTTAAAGCACCACGAAAACCGTATTTTTCTATTTTGTTATTAATAGTCACGGAAGCGCGAGTGTATTATATTTAAAACTCAACAGTCTCTTCGGAGCATCTTGATATTACGATATCATAGGACTTATTCAGATGCTTGGGCAGGACTACCACCTGGCGTTCGTCGTACGAACTACTTTCAATTGGTCTCCGGCGTTTGAATTTCCCGGGCCGAGTTGCGCAGTATCTCTCTAATCGCTCGGCCGACGCATGTGCTCGAGTACGCGCGTGCTCCCAACTCTACCGGGCTCTTTAAAGATTAAATGCCAATCTAAGAATGGCTGGAAATGTTGTTGCTTACCTTGGAGCAGGTATTCCCGTGTTCAAGTAGTCGGGCTCTTCCAGGACCAATTCGGAGAAGGCTTGAGACACGGTCGTCGAGTTGATCTTGTCCTTGCGGAATCCCTCGGGTCGATTCTTGTACAATGGGAGCCTCGACCAGTTGGAGGCGTTTCGATAGCTGATAGATCCTTTATAATTTACCTCAATGACTTCCTCGAGCTCTATCAGCTTTCGGATGGTTTTCATGGTGTCGGGCCCGTCGATTTTGTGGGTCCTCAGCATGAAGCCGATCAGTCGATTTTGATCGGGTCGGGCCTTGCGTCGACGAAGCAGATCGATGGATCTCAGAAGTTTCCTGCCATAAGGAACCCCGGGAATCTCCGGTCCGTCGGACACGGGATGCTGCTGATCCTTGCGCTTCTTCACCTTGTGCAGCTTCTGAGCTGGATCTCGTCTCATCGCCATGTGGCTCGGCATCGTGAAGATCTGATCTTTTTCTTTCTTTTAAACTTTCAACTGCGAAAGAAAGAGAGAAAGAAAAAATGAATACGATTAATATTTTAAAGTTGTATATAGGAATAATGATAACTGCGCCGACTTGACTTGAATATAGTTTTATTGGCAACACAAAGAAATTTGTACATAGCCACGTATAAATAACTGCGCCGTAAGGAGCCGTCGAGGAATGCCATCTGTGGGCGAATCGCGCCACCAGTCGGGGCGAAAAGTGCATCGCAACGGGAGGGAGGGGGGGGGGGGCAAAACACATGCTTGCAAATGTCAAATTGAGTCTCGATCGCCCATGGTTCACCGAGGATTGTTTCGATCAATTTACAGCAAAATTGTTATCAATATAGTGGAAATTCATGGTTAACAATGAGCTCTTTTTTGCATCTTAATTTAAAAAGATACCTTCCATGGATTCTAGAGATAAATTATCCAGTACAGTGAGTGGAAGGCCAAGATGCGCATTACAAGACGCGAAGAACGAAGATCAGGACTGGCGTGGAACCAACACTTGGACGAGTGGGCTATATAACAGGCGTGTAAAAGCACATTCACACACATAGGCGTTCGAACGCGCATACGTTCCAAGTAGCTGCAGGTTGCAGCCCAATAAGTCGAGTGTCAGAAAAGTCGGTAAAACAGGCATGGAAGCGGTCGCGAGCTCGAGAAAGAGAAAGAGAGAGAGAGAGAGAAAGAGACGTGAGATAGACTGCGGTGTTATATATCGGACTCTCGACCGTGTCGTGTCGGCGATGCGCGCGTTTGTGTGAATGCTGCACAAGTTTCATCTCGCAATGAGAGATGCCTGCCCGAGGAAGCGATCGAGATGTATCCTTACGAACCGGCGATAACGTCGATGACATTTTTCGACTCTACTCCGGGTCGGGATCGAGCGGAGCAGCTATACACAAAGTACGACCAACTTTTGCGGAGTCTGCATACCGTTGCGCGTACGTGAGTCGCGCGAAGAGCGGCTCGCGAGAGACTTTGGCCGATTGTATATCCTATACACGCAATTTCATCGGCGACCGAGTGAGAAACGTCATTTCGGAGTATAGTCGAGGTACTCGGCGTACCTCGCGATAACCACATCGATGGAAAATTTAGGAAAGTATTACACGGGGGGCAGCATCGGGGGTACGTATCGCGGCCGCTCGGTTCTTCTCGCTGCTTCGCAGCCTGCCAATTGAGCTGCTCCTATATACACACACGGAAAGTCTCGGGCGCGCACGACACGCGCGTTTCGAGGTTATACAGGCCCGCGATGTAACGTAAGCGCCTATATACACGGATGTGTGATACGCGCGCCTCGCGAATATACATTCTTGCATATATGCATTGTTGCTCTTTTCTTTTCTTTTTCTTACACTCGCAGGTGGTGTGCCTGTGTATGCATTTGTCGCGAGTATATACAACGCCCGAGAGCTCGACGCGTAAAAAAGGAGTCGCGCTGTCTATACGTACAAATAAACGGTAGGCGAGTACGCGAGCGATAAACGCGCTTCTACTCTCTGCGGACTTTTTTTTTCATTCTGCAGCTGCATACTCCAAGTGCGTCGACGACGACGACGACGACGAGGCACACGACCGAGAGACAGAGAGATTGGCTTACACACTTGCTGCGCGACCATTAAAAACGAGTATACGTACGAGCGTGGACGATCGATCAAGGCGTACGACGAAAAGAACGCGAGCTTTGAGCGCCGACTGAGCAGCAGCTCGCGGCCACCCGCTCGGCGCACAGCCCAGACCTCGCGCGCGCCCACGCACCAAACAACTCGTTATTGGTCCCGGTTGATACGCCGACGACACACGGCTGCTCCTCGGCGCGAAGACGGGACCGAGAATGTACGTACCTAGTCCTACATAATTGCGTCAGCGTACGTGGCTGTACGTACTACTGATTGCGCGGCTCGCGCGACTCTTTTTCTTTTTCTTTTTTGCGGCTGGTATATAAATGGGAGCGCGCGACATTATATACGGTAAAGGTGCTAACTCGTACAGCAGCATATACATACGTTGCGATTACGAACCCAACGACAACGGCAACGACTGTACGGAGTCGCGAAACTTTCGGAGGCGTCGTCGCGGCGGCCAGGTCGACGGCGCGAGAGCTAGACGTCGAGCAGACGCTCTCGCGGGAAGTAAAAGTCGCACTTGATTGCGCTTCGCGTACTACCTGCGTATAATATGCAGATCGATCAGTGCGGTATATTGTACGTTGTGTTGTATCGCGATGATAAAGTAAGTGCGCGGAACGCGAAGTAAGATAGGCGCGCGCTCGGCACGACGTTATATATATATATTATATTATACGATGATACACATATAAGCGACGCGTATATTAAACGCGCCTCGCTTACTCGGCCCGTCTGCTGCTGCTGCTGCGGCTATACGGCTACGGCTGCTGTTGCTGTTGCTGTTGCTGTTGCTTCGACGTATGTACGTACAACTTCGCGTGACATTTCGCGCACCGTGGCCGCAGCAGCAGCAGCAGCCTTATGTACTTTAACTCTCGCGTGTGTGCTTTCTTCGACGCTCTCGCAGCAGCAGCGGCTGCAGCAACGAGCTAGCGCGCAACAACAACGTCGATGTTGCTGCTGCACTCGTACATATACTTATACGCGACGACGTAGAGAGCCTGGACTTTTCGCCGCTTTTATCGTTACAATAATACGTACGCGACACACCAACGCGTGAACGAGAAAAGCGAAAAAAAGAAACGAAGACGGGAACACCGCGGCGGCCGCGTGAGCGAAAAACACAACGACGGGCACGTATATGTACGCGCGCTGAAGCGCCCGATCGCCGCACCGCGAGCGAGGATGGTATATTTATTATAATACTGTGCGATAAACAACGAGAGGTTCAAAAGCGTACTCACCCACGAGATGCGGATAACTCCGCGTGCTATAAACTACTATAACGTCTCGAGCGGGGAAGATCGCAAATTGTCCTGAGCGGGTTGTTGATGTGCGCGACGACTTGCTGCTCTTCTCTCGATTATTGTAACGCTCTGTGATATGGGTGTACTGTATATATGGTATATTTTCGCTAGACGCGTGTGCTGGGGGGCCGCCTTCTGCACTCTGCGGATCGCGATGACCGACTGAGACCCGATATAGCCGCCGCGGCGAAGCGCACAGGCCGCGCACATATACAGCGGCAGCAGGCAGGCAGCAGGCAGCAGGCAACAGCAAAGAAAACGAGAGAGAGACAGAGAGAGAGAACGCGCGCGGCCGCTACCAATACACACGTACATCGACTGCAGATATATACGTACGTATGTATAGAAGAAGCACGCAATCGCACACACCTATACCCCGTGTGTAGCCGCACTCTATATGTACGTACGTACATGTACAGTACGCGGAGTCGGATCGTATAGTTGAAGCGCAGCGTGTGCCTCTCGGTATATACGCATACACACAGTCACACACACACACATTTGCACGCATACATTGCAGAGTGTGAGAGAGAGAGAGAGAGAGAGCAAAACAGCTCAGACGGCTCAGAGACGGCGCGCGCCGTTGCGTTGCTGCTGCTGCTGCTGCTGCTGCTGGCTGCACTACTGCGCGTGGAATTATAATGTGCTCTGCGCTCGTATCGGGCAAAATATCATGGGTACATGTACCCACACGCGGACACTCGTATGCAAAGCAACTCCTATATCTATCAATTACCAATATTAAATCCTCGAAAGGCACGATGAGTTTTTAACAGCGCGCACGGCACACGTGTGTGTGAGTGTGCGTGCGAAGACCGTAACGTTCGTAGCGAACGGGACAGGTATCTATGTATATGCTCGGCTTGTCCCACGCCGAAATTTAGTCGTGGTCGATAATAGTACGCGCGCGTTGACGTTTTATCGTCTCTTTGCGAGGAGCTTGATCGGAATCCGAGTTCTCCATGAGCGTACCGAGCGCTCGCACGCTGCCCGGCCATTTATTACGATAATATATTTATGCATTGCGAAGAAAAACAGAGTCACAAATCGTCTTACTTCCTTATTATGCAGTGTATAGGCAATTGACTATAATATGTGTGAATGCG